TCCTCTACTCTACTGTTGATTCCCTGTAAATTATTCTTCATTTCAGTTCGTGTAGCCTTGATTTCAAATAGGTACTTTATTATGTTATTGATTTTCTGAGTTAGTTCCCTAATAGTCTGCTTAAACATCCTTATAAGCAAAATTCTGAACTGTAGCTGTTAGCTTGCTTGGATCTATTTCATTGAGTTCCTCCTCTAGAGATTTCTTTTGTTCTTTCCTTTGTGACATGTTTCTTTGCCTCCACATTTTGGCTGCTTCCAGGTGTTTGTTTCTATGTATTAGGTAGAGCTGCTATGTGTCCTGGAATTTGTAGAGTGGCTTTGTGGAGTAGGTGTCCTGTAGGGTCCAGTGGCTCAGCCTCCCCAGTCCCCTGAGCTGGGCCTTCTAGGTGCTCCCCTGTGTGGGCTGTGTGCACTGTCCTGTTGTAGTTGAGCCTTGGTTGCTGTTGGCATCCCTGGGAGGAACTGACCCCCAGGCCAATCAGCTGTGAGGACCAGCTGCAACTACAGCCAGAGAGATGCTGTGCTGGAAACACCCCTATGGAGCAGGATTTACTTCAGTGGGGCTTTGGTGTTCACCACGTGTGCCCTTTGAGTGTCACTTGTGGATGTGGTAGGGTTGTAATCCAGCCTGGTCTAGCCTGACCACCAGATGCACTGTCTCTGGGGCCTTCCGGGAGGTGCAAAGTCAGCCTGTGCCAGTGCCTTGCCCAGGGCCACCCAGCATGAGCTACACAGCAAACTGTTGTTGACTGCTACTTGTGCTGGGCTTTGCGTTGTCCAGGAGAGGCCAAGCTATGAGCCAATGCAGGCTGCCGGTAGTGCCAGGCCTGGGGCCGCTTATCAAGCCATATGGGGCCTGCTGCTGCTTGTTTGAGAGACTTTAGGAGAGTCCTAAGCATGAGGCTCGAGAGGCCACTTGCACAGAAAAGCCCCTGGAAATGGCCTGGATGAGCTGCAGGTGGGGAGGGGCGGGGCCTCCAGGAATCACAGGGCGGGGCCAAAGGTTCGAGTCAGGTGCTGGCGATTCAAATATGGGGCCTGCCTGCTGGCTGTGTGGGGAGGACTCACCAAAGGAGCCATGTCCTCCGCCAGCTCTTCTGCCCGGGAGAAAGCGTCCCCTCCGCCTCCTGCCCTGATTCCAGGCAGGTTAGTTCCTCCCCGAGTGTCCTGGGTCCTTTCAGGCTGCTGCCCGGCTCTGGGCTCTGAGGGACCATCTGAGTGAGTCCCTGCTGGGCCTTTAAGAGGAGCTGCTGGGGCTCCCGCAGCCTCCGTGACCCTCAGGGACAGTCCCTGCTGGTTTCACAGCCCGGAGTTGTGGGGACGTCTCTCCCTGGCCCTGGAGCCCTGGGCTGGGGACCTGATGGGGGCTGGGACCCCTACTCCTCTGGGAAACCACCTCGGAGGTTTCCTCCCGGGTTTAACCCGCGGCACCGGGTGTGGGCCCCCAGCAAGTCTCTGCGGTTCAGCCCTGACCCTCCCATGTCTGCGCCCCTCCTACCGCTGGGTGCTTCTTCACCTCCCTGGTTGTGGGGCTTCTGTGCAGCCGGATCTCAGGAGGCTCTGGGTGAGGGTGGTTCTATGTTTTAGTTGTGATTTTGATGTGGTTGCGGAGGTGGCGGGTGCAGGTGTTACCTACGCTCCATCTTGTTTCCCCATGACGGCATTTTAACGACAAAGCTTAGGAACAGTGTTTGACCTCGAAGAAGAAATTTTTTAATCCCGAAATCTGTCCCGTTTGCCATGACGGAGAGCGCGTGCTCGCCCCACTCACGTGGGGGAGCGTGGCTGGCTCCTCCTCCCCGGGGAGCGTCGTTTGGCCGTCGGTTCGAATGAACACAGTGAACAGGCCCAGGACATGAAGCACTTCAGTTTGTTGGCTTTGAATTATGAGAACGATAGTATCCCATTTAAGTAGAAACTCTAAATTTCTGATAGTATCCCATTTAACTAGAAACTCTAAATTTCTATTTCCCATTTTGATTTTTAAGAGTATTTACTTGAGGGCAGAGAGCTCTTTATAAGACTGAAGAGAACTTCGGTTCAGGAACTCACAAATGT